GCCGCCATCTTGGCTGACAGTTAATTTGCATAAGGATACACTGATTAGCCAATGGGAAGGGTAGCGGTCGTACGCCAATTACCATGTTTCTCTTTTATTAGTGTAGATGTTAGGCCATATACTCTCTAGAGGTGCTATTTCACTGAAGAAATGGGACAAATCCCATAGAAAGGGCAAGTTACTAGATCCAGAAAGTCTAAGAAATGTATATAATCTAAGTGATTATTTAAAGTTTACAACTCTTGCTCCACCCAGTCCTCCACTTAAAGACTAAAAGGAAGGAAGCCCTCATAAATAAAATACGGGAGCCACAGGCTCATCAGATATAATAACAGAAAAAAATGGCATATCAAGACTGTAAGATGTTTAAGATTTTTGAACCATAGTTTACACCCTTATGTACTCTGAGATTAGCAAAAAAGTTTAAAATGAACAGGGACTTTATAAATGTCTTCATGGGCACCATGAAAGCGAAGAACTAAAGAGGCTGCTGCAGCCCTAGCTGGTTTGGCTCAGTGGATAGAGTGTTGGCCTGTGGACTGAAGGGTCCCAGGTTCAATTCCAGCCGAGGGCACATGCTGGGGTTGCAGGCTCGATCCCCAGTAGGGAGTATGCAGGAGGCAGCCGATCAATGATTCTCTCATCAATGTTGTTTCTATCTCTCTCTCCCTCTCCCTTCCTCTCTGAAATCGATAAAAATATATTAAAAAGAAAAAAAGAGGCTGCTGCAGAATGTTCTACAATTCATAATGGGGTGTAGGGTGAGGAAAGGGCATAGATAAGGCCCTCCAAGTAAGAGAGGGGCTGTGGTATAGAAGAAATCTAGATGCTTCCTGTTATCAGCTACATACACACACATGAGATGATGGAAAAGAGCTAAAGATGCCGGTGGGGTTCAGCGTCTTTCTTTCCCCACCCGTTTCCATCTCTCTGTATGTGCACACTGCTCCTTCTGCATACATTCATAGATGTTAAGAATCCCAGCTAAAGAACTTTAAAATCTCAATCCCTTTATTATTCCAAACTTTCTTCTCTTTTATCCCTTGCTCACTGCATCCATGCCAAATATACACAGCCACCCACCCACACATGCACACATCTTCAATCAAGGAATTCTTTCTTTTCCTGTTAATAAAGCAAAGTACTAACCTTCATGTAGCGAAGGTTGGGAATCGACATGATTCTCACTTCTGGGATGTAATTGCTGTTAATGAATAAAAAAAATGCATTAATAGTCACTGGAGTCTCAAAAAATTACTTTTTTTTTTTTAGATAGTGCAGCAAAGATATGATTTCTTCATGTTAATTAGAACATGTCAAATGAAAAGAATTTTAGAGAATCATATCTTCACTACAGTAAGAACCTAAGACATTAGAACAAACTGGTAATGAGTTCTTTCTAAAATCTTATGTATCCTACTTTAGAGCCGAGAGTTGTGTGGGTATCGTGGAAGACACATATTTTTGAGATTTTATTAGTTCATTTCTATAAATCTAAAAGCTAATTATAGGATCCAAGAATGATTGAATACCATATTGCAGGAGTATAAAAACACTAGCACACACTTTTATATAGTACTTACTATGTGCCAGGTAAGTTTTTAAGTACTTTTCAAATAGGAACTCCAGTACCCTCACTGCAACTGCATGAGATAGGCATTATTATTAGCCACATTATAAAGACGAAGCAACTGGGCTTGGGAAAAGAAGGAACCTGCTGGTAAGTGGCCAGGATTCAAACCCAGGCAGTCCAGCTCCAGGGTCCTTGCGCTTACCCACTATCTTATGCTGCCTTTCAAAATAAGACCACAAAATTGTACTCACATGTGTTTGTTCCGGACTCAAACTGTCCAGGTTCAAATCCCAGTTCAATATTTATATACCAAAATATTTCTTTTTTTAAAAAATATATTTTATTGATTTTTTACAGAGAAGAAGGGAGAGAGATAGAGAGTTAGAAACATCGATGAGAGAGAAACATCAATCAGCTGCCTCCTGCACGCGCCCCAGTGGGGATGTGCGCGCAACCAAGGTACGTGCCCTTGACCGGAATCGAACCTGGGACCCTTGATTCCGCAGGCTGAAGCTCTATCCACTGAGCCAAACCAGTTCAGCCAAAATATTTCTTTGTAAAGGTCAGGGCAAGATATTTACCTCTTTTGCTTTGTTTTCTCAATTTTAAAATGAGGAGAACAATAGTATCTATGCCTTGAGGTTATCGTGAAGAATACATTAAATAATGTATGTGAAAGTGCTTGGAACAAAGTACTCATAAATGTTAGTAATTGTGCATATCCTTCCTATATAATAAAAGGCTAATATGCAAATCGACCAAATGGCAGAATGACCAGTCACTATGATGTGCACTGACCACAGGGGGCAGATGCTCAACACAGGAGCTGCCCCTTGGAGGTCAGTGCTCTCCCACAAGGGGAGCACCACTCAGCCAGAAGCCGGGATCACAGCTGGTGAGCACAGTGGTAGTGGCGGGAACCTCTCTTGCCTCCACAGCAGTGCTAAGGACCCATCGGGGGATGTCTGTGTGGAGCAAGCCTAAGCCAGCAGGCGGACATCCCTCGGGATCCCGGACTGAGAGAGGGCGCATGCCAGGCTGAGAGACCCCCTCCCCCAAGTACACAAATGTCATGCACCGGGCCTCTATTAACATAAGACAAAATCTATTGCAGACACTAAAAGTGTGTGTGTGTGTGGGGGGGGGGGCGTTATGGGGAAATGAATCTTAAAATAGAGGTAATAAGGTATTTTAACTTCAGACTAAGTATTTTCCACGCTGGTCATTAGGTCTACCTGAGTAACTTAATACAAATTCAAGGGCCCCATTATCAAGGATTTGGATTTAGCAGGTGTGACGTGTGGTGTGGCCAGAGCACATATATTAAGATTCCCAGGCAAATACTGCCATGATGTCAGAAAAAAAGCATTTTTGTTCAAAGCAAGCTTAAGAAATTAATGCTAGGTACATCCTGCCATTCAGGATTTCTGTAAAGTGTGTAATTCTTAATTAAGAAAGGTGTGTGCAGAGACTTCACATGTACCATTTTTATAGTTTTCTTTCTTGCTAACCAGTCATGTATTAAATAAGTTAGGAAAATAGAACATATTTTATGGTGATTTACATTTAAAAGCATTTGCAAACATAATAGCTCAGATGATTCTTCTCACAACCCTTAGAGGGAGGCAGGACTGGTATTCCCATTTAACAGACGAGGGAAATAAGTTTAGACAAACAGAGTAAGTAACAGAACCCATACGAGGCCCCTTTAGTGCCTTTCCTCCTAACTCACCAGATCAGCACTTCTCAACCTTTGATTGGCACTGACTTTTTAATTGCTGCATAATATTCTACAGCATTAGTGTATCTCAATTTAATCAACTATTTCTTTGATAGTGGTTAATCAGCTTGACACTGAAATTATTTCAAGCTTTTGTCATTAAAATGTTATAATATACATCCTTATAAATGTATCTTTAGATATTGGTACTTTTGTTTCTACAGAATAGATTCCTGAGATGGTACTGCTGGGTTAGTCTGTGTAATTTCGTCTTGATAGTCCAAACCATTCTCCAAAAAAGACTAGCAAATCACAAGCCTGCCATCAATATGAGAAAATATTCACCCAAATTCTCAGAAGCACCAGATGCTTTTTATTTTTTAAAAGTTTTTCTAACAAGTCTCAGCATCTTTCCATTTGGTATTTATTGGTTATTGAAATTCCTCTTTTGTGAGCTGCCTGTTCAAATCCTTTCCAATTTGTAAGGAATTCTGCAGTCCACAGTATTAAACTTACTTGTCAAGAATGGCAAATACTCTTTTCCTTTTTTTTTTTAAATTTTAAAAAAATATATTTTATTGCTTTTACATAGAGAAAGAAACATTTGTAGAGAGAAACATCAATGAGATGGAAACATCTATCAGTTGCCTCCTGCGCGTCCCCTACTGGGGCTTGAGCCCACAACCAAGGTACATGCCCTTGACCGGAATTGAACCCAGGACCCTTCAGTCCGCTGGCCAACGCTATACCCAGAGCCAAACCGGTTAGGGTGGCAAATACTCTTTCCTGTTCTACTGTCTCAGGACTTTGTTTTTGTCGATTCTGTTTTTACGATTCATGTTATTGTTTTTTGCTAAGGTCAAAGCTGTCTATTTTTTCCTCAGTGCTTCTGAGTTTCCTGCCTTACTTACCCTAGGACAGACTCTCGCACCCTAAAGTCAAGACAATATTTTTCTCATTTATCAAAATATTCTTCTTGTTTGACAAGTGATTTTCATACACAAAAATTCCCTTCTACTAACAAGTCCCAGTGAGTTAACATTAACTTAGTCACTTTTATCATATTCAGTGAAGCATTATTGGATGGAACATAGTTAAATAAAATGAACATTGTTATAGGGTACTCTTCAATCTACTATACTTTATTATTATTTTTTACTTTAATTTTTAAAAGATCATTTCCAAACTTTGGTACTTTGTAATTTGTAATGAATGACGAGTGACTCTCTACCCAACAGTCCACCTACCTCAATGCCCCAGACCATACTATCACTGTGTCACTAATACAAACATACCCTGGATTTTGCCTATAGATTTGCCTTAAACTTCATGGTGTATAATTCAAAACATAAACAGGACCAGAACAAGATTATTTTGATGTCGTTTTTCTTTTCTTTTTTAAGAAAAAAAAAAAATCCACACACCCTAAAACAGTAACCAAAAATACCCATCCCAAAATACTCACACAGCAACCAGCTGGATTTTAAATTTGATAGATGTTGGATTAAATTCTGGCTTGCTCAAATTATGTTCACATTTCTAAAAAAGTAAAAAGTATATTTATCAGAGGAAAACAAGAACACATTCTGCTGATCCAGGGAGCTACTAAGTTTAGAAGGATAGCATTTACTAGAGCCATGGTCAGCAAACTGCAACTCGCAAGCCACATGCGGCTCTTTGGCCCCTTGAGTGTGGCTCTTCCACAAAATACCACGTGTGGGCACGCACGTACTGTGCGATTCAAACTTCGTGGCCCATGCGCAGAAGTTTGTATGCCTAGAAGGTATACATTCTTGGTTTAAGTAGATTTAAACATCACATCAACTTATGATGTAGGTGTATTATTGACCCCATTTCATAGATGATGAAAATGGGGGAGAGGAAAAATACATAATCTGTGCAACTTCACGGAGCTAGTAAGAATTGGAGCTGGGATTTAAATGCAAGTATTATGATTCCAGATATCATGTTTTAAAATACAGTAACATTTACTTATGTCTTGAATGGGTACTACATGCACCTGGTTAAAAAAACTGTTTTAACAATATAAAAAAGGTACACTATAAAGATACCCATTACCTGTCCCCCTGTGCCTCTCCCCTGAGCCAACCAGTTCCTCATATGTTTTTTCACAAATAGCCTATGCACATAAAAGTATATGAATACACCAACTTTCTTTTTCACAATAACATACAAGGGCCATTCTTCTACCCTTTGATTCCCCCCTACTCCCCCACTTAATCTGTCTTGGAATTCCATACCAGAACATACAGAGGTGCCTCTGTATCCTACTTAACGATTCCTATTACTTCTTTAACTGTACCCAAATTGATGTTTCTATGATTTTGCTTCTACAAAATCATAGAAACACGTATTCTGCAATAAGTATTCTTATACATCAATCATTTTCCACATGTGTAAATGTCTATGTAGAATACTTTCTTAAAAGTGGATCAATGGGTATGTGCATTTGTCATTTTGATAGATACTGCCAAACTGCTAACTTCTGCCAACCTGGTAATTTATGAAATGGTATCTTGCTGTAGTTTCAATGTACATTTCTGATTACTGTGTAAGTCTGAGTATCTTTCCTATTTATTGGGTTTTGGGATTTCCTCTGCCATGACTTGTATGTTAGTATCTACTGGTTATTTTTATACTAAGATTACCTTTTCCTTACTGATTTGCTGAAGTTCTTTTACTCTGGATACTAATCCTTTGTTAATTATATACCTTTCAAATTACTTTTCTCAGTCTATGGTCTCTTTTCATTTCATTATGGGTTTTCTCTGAAGAAGGGGTTATCAAAATGATACCCCCCCCCTTCCTGTCTCTCTCAAATCAATAAACATATCCTCAGGTGAGGATAAAAATACTATTATTATCCCTAAAAAAAATGAACAATTCTTTTAATAGCATAAAAAAATACAGTGTTTAAATTTCCCCAAAGGTTTCATAAATTTTCTTTCCTTCCTCATTCATCTCCTTCCTTCTTTCTTCTCTGGTCCCCTTCTTTTTTTCTGTTGTTTAAATCAGGAATTAGATAAAGTCTACACAATGTGTTTGATATGCCTCTTAGGTCTCTTCTGATTTCATGCTGTGTTATTTGGTAACAGTAGCCACTATTCACATGTGGTTAATTAAATGAATTTAAGATGAAAGATTCAGTTCCTCAGTTGCACTGTCACATTTCAAGTACGCAGTAGCCACATGTAACTAGTGGCAACCATGCTGGACTGTGTAATACAGAATATTTTCATCATCAAAGGGAGTTCTGTTGGATAGGACTGATATAAAAGGTTTCCTTTCTTTTACAATTTATTTATTGAAAAAACTCTGTTGCTTCTTCTATAGATTCCCAGAGCCTGGATTTTTCTTCTTTCTTACTTTATTTTAAATTGATTATTTTTTATCAGTCGTCTTTGTTTCCACTCTACTAAACTAATAGCTAAGTATTCTTTCACTAATCTTTTAGGGGTTACTACTATGAACTTAACCTTCTGATACCACATCTGTAAAACAAGGGTAACAATAGTACCTAACCTCACAGAGTTATAAGGATTGAATTTATGTTGAAAGTATTTAAAATGTGCCTGGACACCTATACATTCTCTATATTTACTACCTTCCAGAGATGTTTATATCGGCCAGACACCAATCACATTGACTTTATTTTTGCTTTTCCCTGATACAAATGGCAACTCTACTTACCCGGCAGCGCAGGGACCGTTTGATCAGAAGATGTTTGTGACGAGGATAGAGCTGAGAAGCACAGACTGGCTGGAAGTCAGGCTGTAAGAGGCGCTGCTGAAGGGTGGTTACTAGCATGAAAGGCAGAAACCAGCCTCAATTTAGGGACGTGCTCAATATCAGACTTATACAAAATAATTGCATAAAACAACACTGCTTTTGTGAATAGTGTTCTTCAAAAAACTACCATATAGGAATGGGACATTTTAAAGTTCTTCAAACATTTACTTCTATTATATCTACTTTATTTTCTACAATTCATTTTACTTCTAACAACTATGCTATTAAAAATCTCAAATCACAAGGCATAAGAGTAACAAAAGTAGAATGAGTTGTAAAATATAAACCAAGTAGAATCGTGTATAAAATTACCCTCTGTTAAATTGACTGGTCTTGTATAATAGTCTTCAGGTAGAGGTTCCACTTCATCTACAGCTTGAGCTGGCTCAATCTTTATCTCTTTCTGGTCCTCTCCTTCTTTAAGGCTAAAAGAGGAAAAGTAGTAATTTCTCAAGGGTCCACTTGATTATCTTCAAATTCTATGATATCAAAAATTGAAGTATTCCTCTATTATAGAATACTAGAGGCCCGGTGCACAAAAATTTGTGCACTCAGGAGGGGAGGGGGGTCCCCCAGCCCGGCCTGTGCCCTCTCGCAGTCTGGGACCCCTCGGGAGATAACGACCTGCTGGCTTAGGCCTGCTCCCGGGTGGCAGAGGGCAGGCCCAATCCCTAGGTGCAGTCCCTGGTGGGGCTCGGAGCAGGGCCGATTGGGGAGTTGGGGCGCCGCCCCGTCATGCACAGAGCAGGGCGGATCGGGAGGTTGCAATGCCACCCTCAGTCACGCTCAGGGTAGGGCCGATTGGGGGGTTGGGCACCGCCCCCTGTGACACTCAAGGCAGGGTCGATGGGGAGGTTGCGGCGCCACCCCGTCACACACAGAGCAGGGCTGATAAGGGGGTTGGGGCGCTGCCCCCTGTCACGCACAGAGCAGGGCCAATCAGGGGGTTGGGGAGCTCCCCCCAGTCACGCACAGAGCAGGGGCCATCAGGGGGTTGAGGAACTCCCCCCCGTCATGCACAGAGCAGGGCTGATCAGGGGGTTGAGTAGCTCCCCGCCCCCCCGTCACTCACAGAGTAGGGCCGATCGGGGAGT